TCAAGATTGACGTCGTGTTCCATGTTGTCGTCGAGATAAGTCTTTCTGGTCGTAGCTATGAGTATTGTCTTGCTTACCGTGGCTATGTGTGTCGTCTTGCTTGTCGTCGCTCTGGGCGTCGTGGCTCTGAGCTTCGTCCTGCTTGTCGTCGCTCTGGGCGTCGTGACTCTGAGCTTCGTCCTGCTTGTCGTCGCTCTGGGCGTCGTCCTGCTTGTCGTCGCTCTGAGCGTCGTCCTGCTTGTCGTGGCTCTGGGCGTCGTCCTGCTTGTCGTCGCTCTGAGCGTCGTGCTGCTTGTCGTGGCTCTGGGCGTCGTCCTGCTTGCCGTGTCTCTCAACATGCAAGCCGTGGGATCTCCCGGGGGAGTCGAGGTGGTCGGGGAAGGGGGCGGAAGCCACAAGGGAAGCCACCGTCAGCAGCAGCAGGAGACACGCCGTCAGGCAGGTCTTGGGTGACGGTGTGGCCATGGTTCCTGGTGCAGGAGTGATGGTCTAAAGTCACACCGCCTTTTATGACATCGTCTGACCTCTCTTCTCTTCCTCCTTTCATCCCACTCTCTCTCTCAAGGCTCACAAGATATTTTCTGCTCCTCTCTCGCTATAATTTATCTTGTTTACCCATCAGGCAGCCATCATTCACCTCCCCGACGTCTCCTCCCCTTCCCTACCCGCCCCTTGTCTTATCTCTGACATGCCTGTCTTTCGCTTCTTCACTAGACACCTTCATCACATTAGTTTACCTTTACATCCTTCCTTCCTTCCTTCCTTCATTCCTTCCTTCCTTCCTTCCTTCCTTCCTTCCTTCATTCCTTCCTTCCTTCCTTCCTTCCTTCCTTCCTTCCTTCCTTCCTTCCTTCCTTCCTTCCTTCCTTCCTTCCTTCCTTCCTTCCTTCCTTCCTTCCTTCCTTCCTTCCTTCCTTCCTTCCTTCCTTCCTTCCTTCCTTCCTTCCTTCCTTCCTTCCTTCCTTCCTTCCTTCCTTCCTTCCTTCCTTCCTTCCTTCCTTCCTTCCTTCCTTCCTTCCTTCCTTCCTTCCTTCCTTCCTTCCTTCCTTTCTTCCTTCCTTCCTTCCTTCCTTCTCCCACTTAAACCTTCTTCCTAGTCTTCCCTTCTGAGGGTTCTGTCATTCTTGCAGCTTCTCTGTTGTTTCTGGAGACTCATCCTGTCTGTCTTCCCACCAACTACATATTCCACAGGGCCATACTCTCTCTCTCTCTCTCTAGCTGTGTTATCATAACTATGCTTCTAATAATGATACTAATAAGTAGACATTAAAAATATAACGGCATACTTTATTTTATTTAAATTAAAAACAATACAGTATCATGTGAAATTTGAAGACTTACACTGCTACTTGTAATAATAATAATAATAATAATAATAATAATAATAATAATAATAATAATAATAATAATTAATTAAAACTCAATTGGAGCAATGCCGAGGATTTGAACCCTCGACCTGGTTACTTCCACCCATGCACTTTACTTTTGAACACAACATGGTATAAGTTACAGAACCATGGGGATCACTGCGACAGTTCCAGCCCCACACTTCTGAGCCAGGTAAGTCCATACGGGCTCACCATAGCCCGTGCTACTTGGAACTTTTTGTTCCTGGTAGCTGAATCTAAAACAAGAAGAAAACATGTCACTGAGCCCACAGGAAGTCAGGAAGCCCCTAGCTGAAGCCAGTCTGTACAACCCCAGTGCACTGTGGTGTAGGTAGTGGGGGTTGTTCCATGCTCCCTGCAAATACATCATGTCACTAACGTGATGTATCAATGAGAAAATCAATTCGAGTACTGCGGGGACTCGAACCCTCGACATGGATGCTCCTAGATGACCGCTCTAGTTGAAGTATAAAAAGGAAGGGGGGGGGGGGTAGAAATGGCCTAATCTACTCTATCCCTTTGAGATGTATTTTTTTCTTGTCTCAATAAACATATTTGAACTTGATCTGGAAGTCTAAAAACTCACGAAGGAAGCAGAAAGATCAATGTATCCTCTACCTGTTTAGTTAGGCAGCTTGTTCATCAATATTGCACAAACATCACATGTATGTTGCACAAACATCACATGTATGTTGCACAAACATCACATACATGTTGCACAAATATCACATACCTGTTGCACAAACATCACATACCTGTTGCACAAACATCACATACATATTGCACAAACATCATACCTGTTGCACAAATATCACATACCTGTTGCACAAATATCACATACCTGTTGCACAAATATCACATACATGTTGCACAAATATCACATACCTGTTGCACAAATATCACATACCTGTTGCACAAATATCACATACATGTTGCACAAACATCACATACCTGTTGCACAAACATTACATATATGTTGCACAAACATCACATACATATTGCACAAACATCACATACCTGTTGCACAAACATCACATATATGTTGCACAAACATCTCATACCTGTTGCACAAACATCACATACCTGTTGCACAAACATCATATATATGTTGCACAAACATCACATACCTGTTGCACAAACATCACATGCATGTTGTACGATCATCACATAAATCAACATATAAGTTCACATTCTGGATATATAATACTTCTGAAATATACAGACATATAAACACATAACAATACATTAAATACAAATACATTTCAGAAAAAAATAAATAGATGTACAAATCGATTTAAAAAGGTTTACATTTTTACGAGAATATATTTGCATAGTTCCAAAAATATTAATAATATTTTCGTTATGAAACATCCACGTTTTTTCTTAAGGACCAATCTTTACCGCAGATTGTATATAGTGTACATAAGTCAACAGACAATAATACAATGGGTGAGAATATCAGAACTTAATATTCCACATCAATTACAGTTATTTAATTTCATCATAACACCTGTTCCATATTGCCAGTAATATTTGTACCCAAGCCTGAGCCGCATGTGTACCGAGGCACTCCCAACATTTTTCCTCTTTCCGTAATTGAAATCAGAGTTTTGACTCGCATACATGTAGTGAGTCAATATTTCACTTCTCTCGTATATTCCACGCCTTCTCAACATGTATATATTTAATATTATACGTGTATATATTTAACTGTACCTTTTATTTGTATTAACACGCACTTAAGGTCTCATAATAAGTGAGGTGCCACTATTTTTTTTTTTTTTTGAGATATATACAAGAGTTGTTACATTCTTGTACAGCTACTAGTACGCGTAGCGTTTCGGGCAGGTCCCTGGAATACGACCCCCGCCGCGAAGAATCGTTAAAGCGTAGGTCAGACAATAGGGGTTTGGAGTCGAAGTGGAGTTCTTGGAGTCACAATCGACTTGATAATGGTCCAGGACGGACTGAAACGTCGTCGTCTCTTCACTTTCTAGTGTGTTTAGTCAACAGGGTTTGGGAGTTTCCTATATTCATATTTCTATGTTCTTATGAAGGTAATGACTGGGTATGAAGAAAATGGCCTGATAACGAAGGAAAATGGCTCCAAACAGTGGTACCTCCAGGAAAGTGTCACACTAAAGCATATATTCACTGTCTCAGGTAATTTTCTAGCTTTTTCTGGGAGATGAATTATTTCCCAACTGTCCTGTGATTTGCAGATGTGAGAGAAGGTGGGGAAGAGAACGTATTTATTAGAAGAAAAAGCCGAATTATGAATTAAAACGAGACATTGTGATGTGTGAGGAGGCGCGCTAGTGAGAGGAGAATTACTGATCAGTAAACAAGATAAATTATGTCGGACAAAACAGACAACAGTTGGAACTTTAAGTGAGAAGGGTGGAGTGTGGTGGAGGAAGGGTGGAGTGTGGCGGAGTATGACAGTGGAGGAGTCATTATATCTGAGTGTAGGGGGAAGGGGGGTCGGGTTATGCCTTAAAAGCAAGGACGGTGTGCCTTCAGACCATCACTCCTGCACCAGGAACCATGGCCACACCGTCACCCAAGACCTGCCTGACGGCGTGTCTCCTGCTGCTGCTGACGGTGGCTTCCCTTGTGGCTTCCGCCCCCTTCCCCGACCACCTCGACTCCCCCGGGAGATCCCACGGCTTGCATGTTGAGAGACACGGCAAGCAGGACGACGCTCAGAGCCACGACAAGCAGGACGACGCTCAGAGCCACGACAAGCAGGACGACGCTCAGAGCCACGACAAGCAGGACGACGCTCAGAGCCACGACAAGCAGGACGACGCTCAGAGCCACGACAAGCAGGACAACGCTCAGAGCCACGAGAAGGAAGACGACGCCTTTCACCACAGCCTGAAGGATCAGGAAAACATTGACGGCCTAGAACAAGGAACTGTTACTAACGACCCAAAGCAAGACGAACTTGCTAACGACAAAGAACTCGAGGACGAGCGTAGCCGATCGGCCGACGACTTGCCCCACGACGACGTAGGCGTTGAGAACTCTGGAAGCGACGACTTCGACGACTCCAATCAAGACCTTCCTACGCAAGCTCTTCTCTCTCCTGGTGAGCTTTTGTCATAATACTTAATGTGTATTATTCAACATACAGAAATACATATAGTATACGTCTAATATTTTGATATTGCTTCATATAAGTTTTCTTGATTAAGTTGCTTCAACTGATTTTCTAACACTATTATTAATATTTGTATATAAATTATCTATAAACTCAAATCCTTATAATTTTAGAGTCTCCAAGCCAACGGCAAAACCGTGAAGAATATGTCGACTCCTCGTATAGAGACTATGGCAACTCCCAATATAGCACTAATGGTGACAGCTCTAATGGCAACTCTGGTTCTTATGTTGGAGGTCATCATGTCGCTAATGGCAAAACAGCCAATGTTGGCAGCCAATTTGGTAGCAGCCAATTTGGTAGCAGCCAATTAGGTAGTAGTCTGTCAACTGGCAGCCAATTAGGTAGCAGCCAGTTTGGTAGCAGCCTGTCAAGTGGCAGCCTGTCAGGTGGCAGCCAATTTGGTAGCAGCCTGTCAACTGGCAGCCAGTTTGGTAGCAGCCTGTCAAGTGGCGGCCTGTCAAGTGGCAGCCTGTCAAGTGGCAGCCAATATGGTAGCCTGTCAAGTGGCAGCCAATATGGTAGCCTGTCAAGTGGCAGCCAATATGGTAGCCTGTCAAGTGGCAGCCAATATGGTAGCCTGTCGAGTGGCAGCCAATTAGGTAGCAGCCAATTTGGTAGCAGCCAATTTGGTAGCAGCCTGTCAAGTGGCAGTCAATTAGGTAGCAGTCAATTAGGTAGCAGCCAATTTGGTAGCAGCCTGTCAACTGGCAGTCAATTAGGTAGCAGCCAATTAGGCAGCAGCCAATTTGGTAGCAGCCTGTCAAGTGGCAGTCTATTAGGTAGCCATCTATCTGGCAGCTACAGCAGCAGACCTAATGACATCTATAACAATAATTATGGTAGCAGCCAATCTGGTAGCAGCCTATTTGGTAGCAGCCAATCAGGTAGCAGCCAATTAGGGAGCAGTCAATTAGGGAGCAGCCAGTCGGGGAGCAGCCAGTCTGCCAGTCATGGCATCAGTCCTTTTGACATCTATAACAGCAATTTCTCCGGTAGCAGCCTATCAGGAAACAACCAATTTAGTAGCAGCCAGTCTAGCAGCAGCCAGTCTAGTAGCAACCAATCTAGTAGCAGCCAATCTAGTAGCAGCCAATCTGGCAGCTATAGCAACAACTCTAATGGCAACTATGGGTACAGTTACTATGGTGGTAGCTTTTAACTGTTCAAATCATGTGAAATCACTTTATTTTTTCACACAAGTGGGTACAGGAACAGACAACTGCCTCCTGTTAGCAGGCTGAGAGCTTCCCCTTCTCACAGTTCATGGTAAGGGTTACTCACTAGTTTCCCCTAGAACACGACTCCCCAATAGTTTAACAACCAGAGACCCAATTACTGCTGGGTGAACAGAGGCGAACAGTTAAAGATTGACGCTCAGTCAATCCTCTGTGGCTATTATACGACCCTAGAGCACACAACACTGTCTCGCTCTCTCTTTTTCTCTCGTTCTCCCTTTTTCTCTCGTTTTCCCTTTTTCTCTCGTTCCTCTCTTTCGTCAGTCTGGCGTACTTCAAGACACTGCCGCACCGTCTACTTTCTCAAGACACTGCCGCACCGTCTACTTCCTCAAGACACTGCCGCACCGTCTACTTCCTCAAGACACTGCCGCACCGTCTACTTCCTCAAGACACTGCCGCACCGTCTACTTCCTCAAGACACTGCCGCACCGTCTACTTCCCCAGGACACTGCCGCACCGTCTACTTCCTCAAGACACTGCCGCACCGTCTACTTCCCCAGGACACTGCTTCAGCGTCTACGTGTCAGGGTGTAAACATCATTCCGTTGTACTTGTAGTTCTGTAAGTGTTGTGATGTGAGTCACCAATAAACTCGAGCCTCTGATCTAACTCGTTCTGAATTCACCTAATTACTCCTTGTTTGCTAATCAGCATGCAATTTTAATCCGGATTTACACCCGGAATCCAATTTGGGATCCGTAAGTTGCCAGGTCGCACATCCGGACTGGTTCCTGTTTAGGCCGGATAGGTAATTATCACCACGGCTCGTCTTGATTGCACGGACCTCAACACCTGCCAATGAGGAGGTTTCAGGTGTGTTCGAATATGTGAAGAGAACATGTGTGTTAATGATGAAAAGGTATTTTGATACTTCTGGGGCTTCTTGAGGTTATCTTGAGACGATTTCGGGGCTTTGCGTCCCCGCGGCCCAGTCCTCGACCAGGCCTCCTTTTTGTTACACATCCCCAGGAAGCAGCCCGTAGCAGCTATCTAACTACTAGGTACCTATTTACTGCTAGGTGAACAGGGGGCATCAGGGTGACAGAAACTCTGATCATTTGTTTCCGCCTCCACCGGGGGATCGAACCCGGAACCTCAGGACTACGAATCTGAACCGCTGTCCACTCAGCTGTCAGGCCTCTTAAGGGCTGCCGCTATTAACCCTGACTGTTCATTGGCTGATGCGTGATGTTATTTCTTGGTAGGTCTGTTGCAAGAAAACATCCTGTTCAATGTTGTTCAACTCTTCAGGCCTTGCAAGCGTTAACGAGCCAAGTTTGAGCCCTATGTGGTGGAGTGGAACGATTGAACAGCGTTCCTCCAGTGTTCACTTAACATTAACCGGGGACCTGGTTGTAAAGCAAGTAGCGGATCGTGCCTCAGGGCAATGGAACAAGACAAGGCTTACGATGAACCGTGGGAGGGAGCACTCAGGCCCCGTAGGCGTGGGTTATAAGTCATCTTGCAACCTTCATTGTAAAAACAAACAAATCAAATGATAACAAAATTATCAACATTGAGCATTGAATCTTGCAGTGTTGAAGTGTCAAGTGGTGTCTAGCAACTGTTCATACACATTGAACGTTGCAGCAATTACGCTTATGTTTAATTATGTTAATTATCTCCATGGAGGGCAGTTCAAATGTAATTAATTAGCAACTTAAACACGTTTCCAGGACTATTGTGACGAAATTATCACGTCACGTCACCCACCTCCAGGGTCACGTCACCCACCTCCAGGGTCACGTCACATACCTCCAGGGTCACGTCACCCACCTCCAGGGTCACGTCACTCACCTCCAGGGTCACGTCACCTACCTCCAGGGTCACGTCACATACCTCCAGGGTCACGTCACATACCTCCAGGGTCACGTCACCCACCTCCAGGGTCACGTCACCCACCTCCAGGGTCACGTCACCCACCTCCAGGGTCATGTCACCCACCTCCAGGGTCACGTCACCCACCTCCAGGGTCACGTCACATCACCCACCTCCAGGGTCACGTCACCCACCTCCAGGGTCACGTCACGTCACCCACCTCCAGGGTCACGTCACATCACCCACCTCCAGGGTCACGTCACCCACCTCCAGGGTCACGTCACATCACCCACCTCCAGGGTCACATCACCCACCTCCAGGGTCACATCACCCACCTCCAGGGTCACATCACCCACCAACAGGGTCACGTCACCCACCTCCAGGGTCACATCACCCACCTCCAGGGTCACATCACCCACCTCCAGGGTCACATCACCCACCAACAGGGTCACGTCACCCACCTCCAGGGTCACATCACCCACCTCCAGGGTCACATCACCCACCAACAGGGTCACATCACCCACCTCCAGGGTCACATCACCCACCTCCAGGGTCACATCACCCACCTCCAGGGTCACATCACCCACCAACAGGGTCACATCACCCACCTCCAGGGTCACATCACCCACCTCCAGGGTCACATCACCCACCTCCAGGGTCACATCACCCACCTCCAGGGTCACATCACCCACCTCCAGGGTCACATCACCCACCTCCAGGGTCACATCACCCACCTCCAGGGGTCACGTCACATCACCCACCTCCAGGGTCACATCACCCACCTCCAGGGGTCACGTCACATCACCCACCTCCAGGGCCACATCACCCACCTCCAGGGGTCACGTCACATCACCGACTCCCGACGTCAAGTTGATTAGTTGATAGAACAAGATGTTCTATTTTCCTTATGGCGTAGTGTTGTGACTCCTGAGGAACAGTCTCAGATGACAATGAAAAGTTTTGCCAATTGTGTCACATTTGTATTTTAATATATTTTTTAATATTCCTGGATAAGATAATCAAAAGTAGGTATTTTATTTGTCTTGGTCATACTTAGCGCTACAAAACATTATGTTCAGAAATTGTAATAAATCGAAGGAATTCTCGTTTATTGCCTAGTACCGGGGATATAAAAGGAATGCTGTGTAAATTGTCCAAGTTAAATACAAAAGAAAAACACTCCTTAATGGCCATGGAATCTCATTTTTCACATGAACTTTGGCCTTCAGATCCCCAATAAAAATTCGGCGATTTTTTTACGGAATTAACAGATGGAAAAAAAAATACGTAATTAACACATGAAAAATCATTGCTTTTAGTAATGAATGGGGTACAGAAAAGTAAAGTTGCTGGCTAGTGATTTATTTGGCAATAAAGATTAACAGGTGTTGAACACAGCGAGGAACTATAGGCGATTGATGGAAGGTGTTGCGGTCTGGAGAACAAGACAGTACAGCGGTGTCAGGTTATCTTGAGGTTATCTTGAGATGATTTCGGGGCTTTTGGTGTCCCCGCGGCCCGGTCCTCGACCAGGCCTCCACCCCCAGGAAGCAGCCCGTGACAGCTGACTATCACCCAGGTACCTATTTTACTGCTAGGTAACAGGGGCGTAGGGTGAAAGAAACTCTGCCCATTGTTTCTCGCCGGCGCCTGGGATCGAACCCAGGACCACAGGATCACAAGTCCCGCGTGCTGTCCGCTCGGCCGACCGGCTCCCTTATGTCTTAAAAACATTAAGCATTAAAAAAACTGCAGGAGACCCAATCGAGGCAAATCCTATTTATATCCCCCAAAATCCATTCATATATATGTCTAACCTACACTTGAAACAATCCAGTGATCCCACGTCTATGATGTTACCTGTAATTTATTCCATAAACAAACAACGCTATTTCCAAAAACAGTTTTTATCCTGGTCTATCCTGAATCTAAAGTTATCCAATTTATATAAATTATTTTGAGCTTTATATTGCATTGATATATTTAAAATGTTATGTAGATTTTCTTTCTTCGTGTATATGCTTAAATTTATATCACCCCTTATGTTTTGCCTTTCTCGAGAATGTAAATCTAGCTTCATTAATCTCTCTTCTCAAGGGACGACCTATATCTAAAGCCCTTGAACAAGGTGTTGAACTAAAAGAACATTGTGAACAGAATCCAGATGGCGTGACTTAAAAATGTTATACAAGCTCAGTGTAACCTCATAGTATGTTCTGCAAGAAAGAACAGTATGACTTTGGAAACTGTTCTATAAGAAGAGTGTGATCTGACAGAATGTTTTACAGGTGCGATGACGAAGAACTGATTCAGATCCCGTTGTTCTATCGGAAGCTGCCATATTAGACACGTCCAAGCTGCTAGAAGAGCTGCTGCCAGAGTTGCCACAAGGTTTATTGTCACGTCAGTTTTCATGCTGGGCCCTGGCCATCCCTAAGATAGGTGCTGTCATAGATGACACAATCGCTGCCACAACCACAATTACACTCAGGAAAATAGTCATAGCTCTCATACGAATAGTCGTCATATTCACTGAAGAAAAAACGTTGGTCGATAGGCGCTGAAAAAGATAAAAAAAAATATAGTTATATTATGATAAAAACATTAAAAATGTTATATTATAAACTGTGTTGTATGTAATAATAATAATAATAATAATAATAATAATAATAATAATAATAATAATAATAATAATAATATTATTATTATTATTATTATTATTATTATTATTATTTTTATTTTTATTATTATTACGTGAACGCCTTCACGTTCAAAACTAAACGTGCATGTTTACATCAGTTTAGAAACAGGCTTTTATAACGCCATCAGCTCACCAGGAGAGATAGCAGAAGCTGCAGAGGGATCTTGTGTGGAGTTTATCTCAAAGTCGTTGTCTCCAGAATCCTGCTCCTGAACGCCGATGTCGTCATGGGGGGTGTCGTTGACCGAGCGAACGTTTCCGTTCTCGAACCCTTGGTCGTTTTCTATAGGGTCGTCAGTAACATATACTTGTTCCATGTCGTTGTTTGTAACCTTTTCCGGTTTCGTGCTACGGCGGAGTCCACCGTCCTGGCCACTGTCACCGGTCGCTAGAGTCGTCGTCGTTGATGTGGGACTCCTCGCCCCCTCGGCAGTTTGGTTGACTTGGGCTTCACCGTCGGAATTGTGGTGGCCTGGTTTATCTTCGTCGAGGTTATAGTTATCGGGGAGGTGAATACTAGATGCCTCGTCTTGCTTGTCGTGGTTTTGGGCGTTGTCCTGCTTGACGTGGCTCCGGGCGTTATCCTGCTTGTCGTGGATCTGAGCATCATGGCTCTGAGCGTCGTGGCTCTGAGCGTCGTGGCTCTGAGCGTCGTGGCTCTGAGCGTCGTGGATCTGAGCGTCGTGGATCTGAGCGTCGTGGCTCTGAGCGTCGTGGATCTGAGCGTCATGGCTCTGAGCGTCGTAGATCTGAGCGTCGTCGCTCTGAGTGTCGTCCTGCTTGTCGTGGCTCTGAGCGTCGTCCTGCTTGCCGTGGCTCTGAGCGTCGTCCTGCTTGTCGTGGCTCTGAGCGTCGTCCTGCTTGCCGTGTCTCTCAACATGCAAGCCGTGGGATCTCCCGGGGGAGTCGAGGTGGTCGGGGAAGGGGGCGGAAGCCACAAGGGAAGCCACCGTCAGCAGCAGCAGGAGACACGCCGTCAGGCAGGTCTTGGGTGACGGTGTGGCCATGGTTCCTGGTGCAGGAGTGATGGTCCGAAGACACACCGTCCTTGCTTTTATTATATAACCTGAGCCCTCTACCTGAGTCCTTAACTCTCTCACTTAAGATGTAGCATCTCTCCTTTCACCATAAGTTATCTTGTTTACCGAGCATCCACTCTACTGTCTACTTCCCCCCCCCCCCTCCCTACCCCCATACTCCCTCCCTTGTCTTCCCATTTCGCCTTGTTTATGCTCTTCTCCAACAATTTCCGTATCTCATTCAATTCATCTCTTTTTCGCATATATCTTCCTGCTTCAGAATTGTTTCCCAATCCCCTTTGTCTCTAAGCTTCTTTTGCTCCTCGTTTTCCGTCATCCTTCATCCTGGTGTTACATCCTAACGTGGTTGCTAGAGTGATGGTCTCCTATATTACAGGTCCAAGTTCGAATCCCCCGATTATTCCTTGAAAACTTTTTAAGCAACCGAATCTTCCTGGGGCAGGATTCACCAAGCATTTGCGCAATCACTTGCAAGGCCTGTGAATGTCCTCAATCATGGCGGCTTTGCTTTCATTTCCTTAACAATTTATGAGGTCCGAAGCCCTACGAGGTTGTTTATAACAATAATAATCCTGGGTATTGAAGTTTCGAAGCTTGTTAACGGTTTAATAAATGTAAATAAAGCCGCTGTGAATCAGGAAAGATGTACAGGTTTCGTAAGTGGTTGCGTAAAAGCTTGGTGATTCCTGGCCTAGGTTGTGGAAAACAATCAGTTGTCCTGTGATGACACTACGCAGCAAGTGTACCACAGGACAGTGTGAGTGTTCTACTCCTGTGGAACATCTACTTCCGGAAGTTAATGCCAGAGGCTATGCAAATGACTTTACACAAACTTGTTCCAAGGGATAAGACAAAGTTGTAACTCAACCACGAAACCCTTAAAACTACTTCCTATGTTCTTCCTATTACTGTAGTACATGATAATATCATTAACAACAACAGTTACCATTTCCGTTGTTGTTATTAATATTAGTATTTTTATTATTGAGAAAATTAGAAGGATCTACGAGGAGGGTTTGAATTTATGCTCTGGGTACTCCCAAGCATAGTAATACAGTAATATTATTATTATTTAAATTATTATAATACAAGTGCTCGAGGCCGTAAAAAAAAAAGAGAGAATTTGAGACCTCAGTTGTTTACCCCCTGAACCAGGGACCCTTACGAAGCTCTTGGTTACCCCCTTGGCCAGGGACCCTCACGAAGCTCTTGGTTACCCCCTTGGCCAGGGGCCCTCACGAAGCTCTTGTTGTCCCCCTGGACCAGGGACCCTCACGAAGCTCTTGTTTGCCCCCTTGGCCAGGGGCCCTCACGAAGCTCTTGTTTGCCCCCTGGACCAGGGACCCTCACGAAGCTCTTGTTTGCCCCCTTGGCCAGGGACCCTCACGAAGCTCTTGGTTACCCCCTTGGCCAGGGGCCCTCACGAAGCTCTTGTTTGCCCCCTGGACCAGGGACCCTCACGAAGCTGTTATTTACCCCCTGAACCAGGGACCCTTGCGAGGCAAGACAGATACAGTTTAATATGTCTGTGGAAGTGATTTAATATATCCCAGTCTTCTTCGGCAGTCCATACGGTCTCTCTTGAATTACACCCTTACAAACAATACCTGGAGCTCCTACAATACTCCTGGAGTTCCCATACAACTTCTTGGGGGTAATCCGGTACACCTGGAGCACATCCAGTATCAAGCAACATCATCACTCACTCAGTCTTACCTATCTTGAGATGATTTCGGGGCTTAGCGTCGCCGCGGCCCAGTCCTCGACCAAGCCTCCTTTTTGTTACACACGTCCAGGAAGCAGCCTGTAGCAGCTGTCTAACTACCAGGTATCTATTTACTGCTAGGTAACAGGGGCATCAGGGTGAAAGAAATTCTGCCCATTTGTTTCCGCCTCCACCGGGGATCGAACACGGAACTTCAGGACTACGAATCAGAAGCTCTGTCCACTCAGCTGTCAGCTACCACTTGTAAGCACAAATTAAACGACTCTGCGTGGAGATTCTTGAGACATCACCATAACCTGTTTCTACACGAGCGTCAGAAAAGATATATTTATTATATAATATCTAAATATAACCATTATAAGGACAACAGTCCCAGTGCAACAAAAGAGCCCAAGCCGACACAAGGAGCTTCCTTCCTTCAGAAGAAGATCGCCACAAAGGAAAGGAAAATTTGAATTTGCTCGAGAGGGTTCGTGAACCTTTTTAATGCGTTTTCAGAAGCTGGTCTGTGATGTAATAAGATCATAACGGAGGCAAGTTGCAAAAGAAAACCTATAAGGATTGCAGTTGAAGAACTTGCGTGAGTAGGACTCATGCATAATTCCAAGCAGAGTTTGGACAAGAGAGGGAGGACTCGTGTATAGTTCCAAGCAGAGTTAGATAAGCTAGGAAGGACTCATGTATAGTTATAAGCAGAGTTTGGACAAGAGAGGGAGGACTCGTGTATAGTTCCAAGCAGAGTTTGGACAAGAGAGGAAGGACTCATGTATAGTTCCAAGCAGAGTTTGGACAAGAGAAGAAGGACTCATGTATAGTTTCAGAACAAGAGCAAGATATTATGGAAGAGTAACTATAATTGTATTGTTACTGTCATTAGAAATAAAATTAGAAAATAAATTAGAAATAAAACATTGTATCCTGTATCCTAGTTGTCTTATTCCGAACATTTACACATTGATTTTTTGGTTTTAAATTATTACTTCCAGATCTTTTAACATTTAGATTTCGCATTTTCAACACTATTCAGCTGATATCTCTCAACTATTATCATTACTGCAGATCAGACATTTGCCAGCATTAAACTGCATCTCTCAATGAGAAAATCAATTGGAGCAATGCTGGGATTCGAACCAGCGACCTGGGTACTCCCAGCCACACACCATAACCCACTGGACCACGATACGCTGTTAGTAATAAATAAATAAATAAATGTTTATTCAGGTAAGGTACATACATACAAGAGATTTTACCAAAAATTATAGATTTATAGATAGAGCTAGTACATACAATGCCTAAAGCCACTATTACTCAAAGTGTTTCGGGCAGAATGTAATGTAATGTAACCTGGGATTCAGCTGAATCCAATAGGAGTCTTGAGGCATCGAGCTGATACCAAATCAAGTTTTCACACATTACTCGCGTGCACTCTGGTGTGGTATAGGAGTTCTTCCACCTTCAGATATATAAAGGAATCAGAAAGGTGATATATCAATTGGAACAGTGTTCCAGATGATTTTTTCATTGATATATCACGTTAGTGTGATTTCCTTGTGCATCTGCTAATCTTCCGTCTATCTCAAAAGGCTATTTAGATCGTTTTGAAGCGATTGTTTATGGTATTTAGGTTCTTATGGAGTCCCAGTGTAAGAACATACAAACATAAGAATAAAGAAAACTGCAAAGGACGTATTGACCCATAAGAGCCATTACACTATTTGTCATATTTCGAACATATATACTTTGAATTTTTGGCTTAAAATCATTACTAATCATGACTATTAGATCTTGCTAGTGTTCAGATTTGACAATTTCAAATTGTTCCTGCTATATTGTTATACCGTATTGTAGGCTCAGTATCAGACGCGATTTGGAAAAAGGGAGGAACTCACATCGTCTGTGGAGATCCGCAGTGTGTGGTTGCAAAGAGCAACATTTCTGACCCGAAAGGCGCCGTGCGGACAGTGTAATACAACAGATCAACACCCGGGACTCGCCCAGTTGTAAGAACTGATGGCTACCCTTCTGGGGACGGGCCGCCCACCGCAAGAGGCACCATGATATATAAGTGCTTCAGCCTACAGTTCAGACCTATCGTCTTGTGTATGACCCTGCCCTGCGTGACAGTGAATACCAGCATTATCCTCACTCTAATAAGACTTAATTGAAATCCTCAGATTAAGCAAAATTGTAATTAAATTCTGTCAATAAAGATGTTAATAATAATAATAATAATAATAACCGGAAGAGGCAGTTTTTTCTTTTCATTATTTTCTACCACGAACGTGGCCACACATTTACAATGCTAACCAACGTATATACATTTTCTTCTGGCTTCCATGGACAGGGTTAGAGATCTGTTAAACATATAATTCAGAGATTTTTTGAACAATCAACCACAGAAGGTGGTTTTAAAATGCTAATCTAACCTACAAACACAAATACACAAATTTACGTCTGTCCTACATAAACAGTGTTCGAGATGTCTTTTTACAGAGTGTCATTAATGTGGGTTTACAAATGTGAAATGCAATTATGACCAGCTTCCACATACCCTGTATACAAATACACTTATACATATATACACATATACCTACACATAGCCACACACACACAAACACACACACACATAAACACACACACACACACACACACACACACACACACACACACACACACACACACACACACACACACACACACACACACTTCGTTGGAAGACAGAAGAGTTAGGGGGGACATGATCACCACATTCAAGATTCTGAAGGGGATTGATAGGGTAGATAAAGACAGTCTATTTAACACAAGGGGAACACGCACAAGGGGACACAGGTGGAAACTGAGTGCCCAAATGAGCCACAGAGATATTAGAAAGAACATTTTTAGTGTCAGAGTGGTTGACAAATGGAATGCATTAGGAAGTGATGTGGTGGAGGCTGACTCCATACACAGTTTCAAGTGTAGATATGACAGAGCCCGATAGGCTCAGGAATCTGTACACCTGTTGATTGACGGTTGAGAGGCGGGACCAAAGAGCCAGAGCTCAACCCCCGCAAACACAACTAGGTGAGTACACACACACACACCCACACACACACACACACACACCCACACACACACACACACACACACACACACACACACACACACACACACACACACACACACACACACACACACACACACACACACACACACACACACACACATATATATATATATATATATATATATATATATATATATATATATATATATATATATATATATATACATATATATATATATACAACTTTAGAACACTTTCCCACCAGGAGACTCGAACCCTAGCCAGCACAGAAGCCTTCCAGCAACTGGCATAACAGCTGGCATAACAACTGGCAACTGGCATTAAATACTCCGAAATTACCATCTCTTTTAAGGGTCTGAGCAGGTGGTGGAGCGGGTTAAGGCGTACCTGTTATGCCAGTTGCTGGAAGGCTTCTGTGCTGGCTAGGGTTCGAGTCTCCTGGTGGGAAAGTGTTCTAAAGTTGTATACTTCACTCTCGTGTTTAGGAGAGTTGTGCCATATATATATATATATACGCCTATGTGTCTCCTACTGAGATAGGGTAAGATAGCTTCTATAGAAACTAGTGTGATATTAAGCACTTAAACACTGAAGGTGATTAGGATGCTTTTACAAAAGGCAGTGAGCAGCAAACCTAACCAAGGGAAGTCGAGTGCTGGTGTAGCGCGAGGAGCAGAATGGAAGATTGGTAAACAAGATAATTAAAACCAGGGTGTGGTAGGCGGTAGATAATGTTGGAAGAGAGAAGTGTCGTAAGAGGGAAGTTTAGAAGGCGGGGAATGAGGACGAAGAAAGATTGGGGAGGTCACTCAGTGCCTTAAAAGCAAGGACGGTGTGACTTTGGACCATCACTCCTCGACTAGGAACCATGGCCACTCAGTCACCCAAGACCTGCCTGACGGCGTGTCTCCTGCTGCTGCTGACGGTGGCTTCCCTTGTGGCTTCCGCCCCCTCTTCCCAGCACCTAGACTCCCCCGAGAGATCCGAGGATGGGGACTCTCATGACGCACACCAAGTCAACCTGAGTAAAGATGACGTCGTCCACCAAAGCCTGCAGCAAGACGACGCCCATTTACTCCAGCAGGACCACGACCACTTTCCGCGAGAAGACCGTCAGGAAGAAAAACAGGACGATAACGTCCCACCCAACCTCTCCAAAGTCGACGATCATAACAGTAATGGCAATAAAGACTCAAAAGCCAGCGACTCCGCCGGCGACAACAAAGACGATGAATCCATTGACAACAACTCTGAGGGAAATGCCTCCAGAAGCGACAACTCAAAGGTCGACGACTTCGATGACAACCACTCTAAGAACGATAACTTCAGAGGAGACGATTCCAAGAACGACGAATTTGGCAACAAAGTCACCAAAGACATGACTGCTAGCGACAGCAACTACGAAAGCATCGACTTTGAGGACAACGACTTCCAGAATAACGTCACTAAGGGAGAGAACTCCAGGAGCGACGAGTCCAAGGCCATCAAAGACAAACTCTCACCTCCCAACACCGGTGTCTCTTCTGGTGAGTCGTTGAGTTAGTGAATATTCATCTGAGAGTGCATACGAGAATCGGTCGATCATAGCGCCATCCCAGTGACCACAGTTTCCAAGAGTGACGTTGGTTCGACGTTGAATCAACGTTAATTCAACGTTGATGACGATTCGACGTTGCTCTTGGATATTGTACCCAATGGGAAGCAACCTTCACATCCAATAATATTTTGTTCGGTACTAATACACACTTATTAAGTTAGGCTAGGTAAGGTTGAGTGCGGTTAGGCTTGTTTAGCTTAGTTTAGGCTTAGCTTGGTTAGATTTGCCTGATTAACTTCGGTTATCCTCATTAATACGTGTCTTCCAGCATCATTAATACATGTCTCTTCCAGTGTCCTCATTAATGCACGTGTGTCTTCCTGTGTCCTCATTAATACATGTCTCTCTTCTCTCTTCCAGCATCTCGTCACCGCTTTCCGTTTGGCAGCCTTGGCTACAGCCCTTATGACTCCTATGGATACAACTTTTATAATACATATGGCTTCAGTCCATATGACGGCTATGTCTATGATTACAATCCATATGGCAGCTATGACTACGGTTCTCTCGGTGGCTATGGCTATAGGCCTTATGGCGGATATGGGCCATATTAATCTATATTAAAATATGTGTGTGAGGCACAGACTCTTCCCTATCACTCCAGTAAGGCAACAAGGGAGGATTACTCAGGCTCCAGTATGGCAGCACGGAAAGTGTCCAGACCTGGGGCCAGATTCACGAAAGCACTTACGCAAGCACTTACGAACGTGTACATCTTTCCTCAATCTTTGACGGCTTTGGTTACATTTATTAAGCACTTTACAAGCGTGAAAACTTCCCATTCAACTGTTGTTATTGTTATAAATAGCCTCCTGGTGCTTCGGAGCTCATTAACTGTTTAATAATTGTAAACAAAGCCGCCAAAGATTGAGACAAGATATACAGGTTCATAAGTGTTTGCGTAAGTGTTTTCGTAAGTGCACTTGAAGAGCACGCTCTGGCTGGAAACATCGCTCCATACCTTCGGGCCTTGAACTGTCGCGAGGAGAAACGGCTGACCATCCTCGGCTCCTACACTGCCCCAACCATCCTCGCGTGTTTGTCTAACGTTTGCTGGACAAGCGAACGTTAGACAAGCGTTAGTGTCCAGCAAAACGCTAACGCGTTTTCCCTCTCAGCTGGGAAGCCAAGTTTTATTTTGTTACTCAACTCTGTTACGATCGTTTGACCTTACCATTACTGCTGTAAAACACCTCACTCATGTTCAGTGTATCAGTTTGTTAATTTATTTGGTTAAAAAAAAACACTAACCAGTCAAACGACTTCTTCTTCAACCTATTAATTATTATTTTTAGTCTGTGATATAATTTTGATTCATTGTCAAACTATGCTATTATCCGTGAGTATAGAGATCGCAAACGTGAATGGTTATGAGATCCAGTTAACCGTGAGACTGTTACCAAAGGAAGAATAACGTCTGCTCCTACAGTTTTGGACGGTTATTGGATCCTGTGAATTTATCTGTTGACTTAAAACATGCTTCCTCATACGCTGGTATCGACTAAATGGCCAATCCTAGCCAGGGGGCTCCTGGGTGAGGGTCTCGAACCATCGACAACGAGAAATGATCTCCATTTTTCTGGAATTGGTTTTTGAATTAGAATTTATTAATAAAGATCTTGAATTTGAATCCGAATTTGTATTAATAAAGATCTTGAATTTGGATCTAAATTTATTAATAAAGATCTTGAATTTGAATCTGAATTTATTCATCTATATTTGTTTACATGTAAGCGAATGAGTTTTATGATTATGTAGTAAATTTTCCAACAATAGACGTTAAGCAAATGGGTAGATACGACGAAGCTTCTATTATATCTACCAAACCAGGTAGCTCAACAGTCAGACGGGAGACATCTCCCGTCACGCAGGGTGCAGTCGAACCTCCACAGATCTCCAGTATCATCTACTGATACTGGTAGTGGCTCAAAAGGGCCACCACTTACGGACTATTCATGCCCGTGCCACCTTTTGGGTGGCTTAATCTTCATCAATCAATCATCAGCTCGACAGTACTACTGCTATATAGTACACAAGACACACACACTCTCGCTCTCTCGGTGGGTTTTAATCCTGCTTTGCACATTAAATCTGACTATGTACTCTCTAGCAGCCGACAATATGGCGTTATGTCGATCGTTAGAGGAACAGAGGCGGAGGAGAACAGTTACAGTTCAGTTTATTATATCAAACACACTCTCTATTATATCTACCAAAGTAATTCATATATATGTCTAGCCAACCCTTGAAAGAATCCATCTATCCCGCGTCTATGATGTTTTCTGGTAATTTGATCCACAAAAATTAACAATCCATGATTCAAAACACAAGAATTCCAGGAACGATTAAACCACTAACTACCCAGGTCTTTCCCATGTCTAAACTCGTCCAGTTTATGCCCATTATTTTGAGTTCTAATGTCCTTAAGGAAAATTGATTATAACAAATTAGGTTTTAATTATCGTAATATTGTATGAGAGAGGCTGCTGACTTATGGAACAAATCATATTATACGATCCCATATAATAAACGATCCCATATAATAAACGATCCCATATAATAAACGATCCCATATAATAAACGATCCCATATAATAAACGATCCCATATAATAAACGATCCCATATAATAAACGATCCCATATAATAAACGATCCCATATAATAAACCATCCCATATAATAAACGATCCCATATAATAAATGATCCCATATAATAAACGATCCCACGTCTATTATACTGGATGGTATAATGGGCATGGGATGGCGGGATTGTTGTTGTTGTTGTTTTAGATTTAGCTACTCAGAACAAAATGTCCAAGTAGCACTACAGTGAACCCGTAGTTGAGTTCGGTTATTCGCGATAACCTTGTTACTGTGATATTTGGGTCCAAGTTTTAAATAGAGGTGGGGTTTCCTCCATTTCACCCGTTTCTTTTTCGCTTCTGTTTTAGCGCACAGGTTTTAGTTTTGTTTTAAACACAATATCTTGGTGGCGGATGTAGATGCAGTGTTCACTAGTGTGTCCCATTCTTCAACTGCTTTTCCAACAATTATAGTCGCTGTGGATTTTGCATCTAATGCAGCTGCTCTTGTTGGATGAATGTTGAGTTTGATGCGCAGGGCTTCAGTCGCTTCACATTCCGGTAAGTAATGCAGTAATGGCGCCTCTGCTTCTGTTCCACAGACATGACATTGTTTAACTATTGGGTTTATTGCCTCCCAGCAGCACTTGTAACCAAGTCTGAGTCTGTGTATGACTACTGTAAATGTCTGTGGATATCCTTTTGCCAGCCTTGAAAGAGTAGTAACCAGTGGCTTGTTCGTACCACATCGCAGTGGATCGTCCTTCCGCTACTTTGGCTCTGTGGCGACTTTTCATAGTTGGGAGTATTATCTTCTTGATTTGCTCCTTAATCTGTGAAAAACTTGGAGGTATTTTAACCTGTACAACAGGTAGAACAGTGGCAGAGCGTGGAGAGATCCTTTACTGCTAGAATCCACTCAGTAAAACATCTAAGCTACTGGGACAGAGTAAAATGCCAAAATCTTTATTATCTTGAGCGCAGGCGGGAGAGATACATAATAATTTTCACGTGGAAAATAACAGAGGGGCTGGTCCCAAACCTGCACACAGAAATAACACCACATGAGACCAGGAGGCATGGCAGGATGTGCAGAATACCCAGTTGAAAAGCAGAGGTGCAATAGGTACTTGAACGTGTCCAGCGTAGGATGACTAAGTTAATTCCCCAAATTAGAAATCTTTCATATGAAGAAAGATTAACAAAGCTTAAGTTGCATTCACTGGAAAGGCGAAGAGTTAGGGGTGACATGATAGAGGTTTACAAGTGGATGAATGGACATAACCGGGGGGATATTAATAGGGTATTAAAAGTATCAACACAGGACAGAACACGAAACAATGGGTATAAATTGGATAAGTTTAGATTTAGGAAAGACTTGGGTAAATACTGGTTCAGTAACAGGGTTGTTGATTTGTGGAACCAATTGCCGCGTAACATTGTGGAGGTGGGGTCCCTCGATTGTTTCAAGCACGGGTTGGACAAGTATATGAGTGGGATTGGGTGGTTATAGAATAGGAGCTGCCTCGTATGGGCCAACAGGCCTTCTGCAGTTGCCTTTGTTCTTATGTTCTTATGTTCTTAGAGAGAACTCTATCAACATCAGAGGCCCGAGACTGTTCAACACGCTTCCGCTACATATAAGCGGCATAACTAGCCGACCCCTCGCAGTGTTCAAGAGAAAACTCGATAAACACCTCCAAAGGATACTTGATCAACCAGGCTGTGACTCATATGTCAGACTGCGAGCAGCCGCGTCCAACAGCCTGGTTGACTAGTCCAACAACGAGGAGGCCTGGGCGATGACCAGGCCGCGGGGACGCAAAGCCCCGAAACCAACTCAAGGTACTCAAGGTGGCAGTTTTTGCTAGTGAGTCTGCCATTTCATTACCATCTTTGCCAGTTTGACTTGGTATTCAATTTAGGGTTATTGACAGCCCTAGATTGTGTGCTTCGTTTCCTATATGTAAGATTTCTGTGATGAGTTTTATATTATCTCTGTGTTGACTGGATAACAATGCCTGGAACGAAGATTTAGAGTCGGTATGAATGATGACATCATGTAAATTATTCTCAATTGTATAGTTTATTGCCTCCTTCAGGGCATATAATTCTATTTGCAATGTTGAGCACCCACTATTCATGCTCCAGTAAGCTTCATGGTTGGTAGTGTAAACTGCTGCCCCGGCAGAACCTCTTTCTTGATCAACTGATCCGTCTGTGAAGATGTGAGTCGTTGTAGGTAGGTCTTGAGATGGTTTCCATTTGTCGTTCCATGATTGCTTTGAGCCTCTGCGAGTCACAAGCTGATTTTCTAGCCGGTGATCCTTCAATGATTATCTTTAGACTCGATTCTTCCCATGGAGGAGGATAATGAGATTGTTTCAAGGACAGGATATACAGTAGGAGAGGTGGAGGGTTTAGGAGAGGCGAGGGGGGGGGGGCTATTTTGTGTTACATAAGGCGCCAAGATTGTTCAGCTTGACCACTGTTTTATTGACCATAGTCAATACCACCACCATGTCGGTCAACAAGACGTTCCTCCTCCTGCTGCTGCTCTCGGTCGACGCCCTGGCGGCTTACATGTCTATTTTCCGTCCGCGTGAGTTACTTTATCTGTATTTATTAAATTGTTGTTTATCTTTACATTTTTGTTTATCATTATAAACATTTCAGGATTTAGTAAACATGTTCTGGTTATTTTCGAATCTAATTTATATATATGAGAATCACTCTAGTGGTGACAATAGAAATGAGTAGAGTGGTAGAGTAGAGTTCCGATCTTGAGAGCACGGTAGATTGGTATTATGTTCCATTGCTATGTAGACCAGATACTCGTAAACATCAAACTTCAAATGCGGTATGACTGGAATAATTAATATATCGAGGTCTCTGGGTAAAGGTTCACCTTTACCCAGGGACCTTTACCAACGTCCTGAGTTACCCCTGGACGATGCTTCCATCTCTCTCTCCTGCTCCAAAGATTTTCTTAATTTTTGTTGTAAAGAACAAAAGAAGCGGATTTGTTGGCCCACACTGGGCGGTCCTCTTATGCATGTATCAAGACTATAATTAAAACGTGGGATTGTTGTCTTCTTTCCTGGGCTTTCATAATTCATATGATTTAATGTGTGTTGAGACCAACTGCTGACAGTTCTCCTCCCACACAGCTGCACATTCCGTGCGTCACTCCAAGTTCGCCTCCAGGGACCTCTCCAGCCAGAATTATGGCCGCTTCAGCAGGAGTTTTTCCGGATCCTACAATGTACAGCCGCCATACCCTTTTGAACAGGAGCCACTCTACCCTGTTGCACAGGAACCACTCTACCCAGTTGCACAGGAGCCACTCTACCCAGTTGCACAGGAGCCACTCTACCCAGTTGCACAGGAGCCACTCTATCCTGCTACACAGGAGCCACTCTACCCTTTTGAACAGGAGCCACTCTACCCTTTTGAACAGGAGCCACTCTACCCTTTTGAACAGGAGCCACTCTACCCTGTTGCACAGGAACCACCCTACCCTTTTGAACAGGAGCCACTCTACCCTTTTGAACAGGAGCCACTCTACCCTGCTGCACAGGACCTGGTTTATCCTTCTGCTGAACTGCCGCTGTACTCTACTACTACCCAGGAGCCACTCAACCTTTCTACAAAGGAAGCTTTCAATTCTTCAAATACCCAGCCACTAATCCCAGAGTCAGACACGAGAGTTTTCAAGTCACCAGTTTCTAAGCATAAGGAAGTATTATCACTAATCAATGAATACGTTGGTGGACCCGCGTCCAGGAAGCCCCGATCCACACCTGAGTGGAGGATTCTGATGAAGGCGTTTGAGGCCGTCTGGAGCAAGGAATGGATTACTACGTCGCTCGCTAGGTACGAGCCTTCGAAGGGGACCTGGGCGTACTTCTCCTGAACTGCTGTACGTACTCCTTTTTGTGTCCTCTCTCTCAACATCGTACCAACTTTTTCTCCAACACGGGTCTTAGAAAGTGATACTTGGAGACTTCAAGAACCTGGACAGAATTCGCAGGAAATTTTTGATTTTTCAAATGGTTTGGCAAGCTTCCAAAAGGCAATATGGAACTTCTTGTCTCCTTTATAGAATGCGAAGATGGTGACATGTATTCAAAATGTGATAATCTCGGCACAGGTGTTGGAATCTTATCGTTACTGATCAATCTTCAGGTGTATATTTAACCCTGAAATTTTCTGCTGTACTTTTCAACTTAAATAAAATGTTGTAAAGATAATTCTGCCTCTTTTTATCTTTTAATTTGTCTCGTAATCTAGTTTAACCAAAACTAGATTTGTATATAAAAATCAATACATGTTGCTTAATTTAGAGACTGTACTTGTGGTCGGTCTCGAACCCATTGCTGATGTGACGATGTGCATTGAATTTTGTAACTAGCTCATCAAGACTGTAACTTGTTTGGCTAAATGAATTTAGGGGTTCAGTTCCTGGACCCATTATGAGTCTCTGTAACCCTCTCCACTATCACCCACTGGGTAGGTATGGGGTGCATAATAAATGAACTAAACTAGCGTGGGCAGCTTCGGTACAGTGCAGGTCTCAAGGCTGCCCTGTTATAACATTAACGAAAAGGAATAATTTCATAAGAACATGAAAGCTTTATTAATAGAGAATATTGTTAAAGATTTGCTAACCCATTAGCAGCAGTTTCAAGTTATACCCAACAAACTCACCCAAATAATTGTCTAATCTACGCTTGCAATATTCGAGCGACTCCCACTTTGGGTTTCTCTTTGAGTGCTTTATCCCTATACTAGTAATTTCCTAAATTATTACTGCAACATTAATCCTGATTTATATCATTATTATTTAATTGTAACTTAATATATTCTATAAACATCCCCACGTTCTTCATTGGTGGAAATACTTCTGTTCCTAAATAACAAATTAGCTCTCAGTTATCGAATATATGATACTTTGCAGATGTCATTAAAAGAGCGACAAATAACTTAAAACGAGATCAAAATCATTAAAACGGGGACTTTTGAGTTTAGGAATTTATAAGAGAATTCGAATTTACCAGCATAACAAGGTTTTATGTCCATGTTACAATTTATTTATCTTAGAACTTCATTCCTGGTAAGCAGTAACTTAAGAAAATTCTTCAGTTATTCGTAAATTGTATTTACGTTATCTTTTCTCCGTTTTAAGTAAATTTCAATATAATTTTCTAACAGTCAGAAGGATCTCGCTCTCCATTATTGATAGAGATTTCTGCGTTACTGACTGATGGATCTGATGCTAAAATATCAGACAGAAGGTGCAGGCGTCCACTCAGATAATAAACAGGTGCAGGCTGCCACTCAGATAAACAGATTCAGTGTGGCGTTACAATGCATACATAATGTGTTGAGGGGATTAAGAAATTCACATGTACTAAAGCATCGTGCACTTTATTGTTCTCAAGATAAGCGTTAAGAAACAAAATACCTGAATCATTGACATTTAATGAAATTAAACTATAAAGTGATATGAGGACCCCTGGAAGGATGCAGATACAGATTTGGGTGAGAGCAGAAACCTGTCTTCTCCTGTAGCAGGTTTCTGTTTATGTAAGAAGAAACCCGTCTAACCTTATTACTGTTTACTAGGGAACATTTCCAGATGTAGAGACGGGTGTGTTTACCAGCACAGCGGCGACGGAGACGTTTACTGTGTATTATTCTGGGTCTTTACTAAGGCTGGATTCACAGGTCTCACAGGTAGTCGAAACCAAAGGGATCGTAGCCATAGGAGTAGTAAGGCGAGTACCCGTAGCTGCCAAAGGGACGGTAAGCATAGGGGCGGTAGCCAGTGTAATCGATGTCAAACACATCGACATAGTCAAAGAAGGTTCGTTTATGGGTCCCAGGTTCTGCAAGAGAGATGAAATATTGAATGATAATAACAATGACAAGAATATTATGTATTTAATAATTCATAACAAAATGCTACTTAAGGGTATAAGATTAAAAAAAACGAAGAGCAATTGACCTTGCAAGGCAGTTCCTATTCATATCGTCCATCTCGCTCATACATATCTAACTTACACTTGGAACAATCATGTTCTCGTTATTCTTCCACTTTTTGGTGAAAATAAACTAATTTTTTTTGTGCAGATGATGAGTCACAATAACGTGGCTAAAGAATGTTGACCAGACCACACACTAGAAGATGAAAAGACGACGACGTTTCGGTCCGTCCTGGACCATTATCAAGTCGATTGTGGACCAATCGACTTGATAATCCTGGACTATTGTCAATTTTTTTTTAATTTCATGGGATAAATTCCTAATGCCTGTCTCTAAACCAGAATATGCGTAAGAGAGAGACAATCTACATGAGAGGCGGAGACATGCTCAACATATATTAGTGAACGCATAAACGCATGCAGAATTGTATGTGTTCTGATAACAACTTACCTGAAGAGTTAACGAGCTGCGGTAACAAGGGTCCGCTTGTGGAGTAATCAGAACCATCGTCCACAGAACCGTCGTCCTTAGAACCATCGTCCACAGAACTATCGTCCTTAGAACCCTCTTCTACAGAGTCGTCGTCCTTAGAATCGTCCTCCTCAGGCTTGCCCTTAGAGCGACTATCCACGTCGTCTCCGGGGTCTTTGATGTTCTCAAGGGCGTCTTCCGTCTGGTTGTGAGAGATAATTTGTTTTTCCCGATTACCGATGCTCACGTTTTCTTGGTTCGTGTTGACGGTGAGAGTACTGCGTTCCTCCAGTGTGTAAGACAGCGTGTTGTTTGATCCCAGGTTTGCAGGAGGGATATCACCTTCGTTCAGGTTGTCATTTTTCACATCTTGCTTACCGGGGCTCTGAGCGTCGTCTTGATTGCTGGGGCTCTGGGCGTCGTCCTGCTTGCCGTGTCTCTCAACATGTAAGCCGTGGGAATTCCCGGGGAAGTCGAGGTGGTCGGGGAAGGGGGCGGAAGCCACAAGGGAAGCCACCGTCAGCAGCAGCAGGAGACACGCCGTCAGGCAGGTCTTGGGTGACGGTGTGGCCATGGTTCCTGGTGGAGAAGTGATGACTGAACACACCTCCTTGTTTTTATATCATTGACTGACCTCTCCACTATACTCTGCTCTCTCCTTATCCAACCACCGTCTGCTCCCTCCCGCCATTATCTTGTTTACCAATCAACCAGACTCTCCCTCATGGTCCCATCACCACCTCCTTCCTCATTATTTCATAACGTTCTACTTAATAATCATGACTTTTAAGATCTTTCTCGCATTAAGATTTCGCAATTTCAACATTGTCCCGGTGATATATGGTAGCCACCATCACCTTGGCTCAGAATCTTACATTTTTTCTGCATTAAATGGCATCCCCCAATCTTTTGTCCATTTTGAAAGCTTCTCTAGTCTCTAGATAGTCTTCAGTATTCAAAATTGTTTTTTTTTAATATATATTAATATTATTATATAAGAATTTAGTGTACAGTTATACCTAGATTGGGTTAGGTGGTTAGGTTCTGTTAGCATTTACTCATCGTATGTTGTGAAGCATTTTCATAGGTGTGATTCGAACAGAGGACTTGAGTGAAGCACTGTTCAATAAAAGTATGAACGTCATCAGCTATGAGTCACATGTAATGTCCGTCCTTATCAACAAAGGCGAAATGCTCGTTAATCCAGCCACCAAATCCCATGGCTATTCCCATGAATGAAAAACGCTTTATACACGCCTCACAACTGATGACGTTCGAACATTCCTCGAAGAGGTCTTAGCTGCCGACCTCCTCAAACAACCCGTCCTCGACTCAAGTCCATTACATTCAGCGGTCGACCCCACAGACGCATTCATAAATTTTAACATGCTGTTCATTCAAAATGGGAATTTTCTCAAGTATAAATTAATATTATTATATATTGGCATATTGTGTATATATAGGCATAGGATAGGTTAGGTCAGGTGTTTGGGTTCTGTTGGCGATTATTTGTATTTGTAGTACGTGGGTGAAGCATTTATAGCGTTGCGATTCGAACAAAATTCGTCAGTGAAGCACTTGTTCCGGATATGTTCGAACGTCAGCAGTTGTGAGTCGTGTGTAAACCGCTTTTCATTCATAAACAGGGGGTTTGGTGGGTGCATGGAATCACTTTTGGATCTTTGTTTGGAGGACGGGCTGCCTCAAATCCCAACTCTGTAAACAGCCCGTCCTCCAAAAACCCAAACGTGATTCCATTCACCCACCAAACCCCCTGTTTATGAATGAAAAACGGTTTACACACGACTAACAACTGATTTCGTTCGAACTCTTCCGGAAAAGTGTTTCAGTGACGAATTTTAATTATGTTCGAACCACAACGCTATAAATGCTTCACTCACGTACTACAAATACAAATAATCACTAATAGAACCTAAACACCTCACCTAACCTATGCCTATATATGCACAATAAGCTAATATATTATGATATTAATTTATAATTGAGAACATTCCCGTTTTGAATGAACAGCATGTAAAAATTTATGAATGCATCTGTGGGATCGACATCTGGATGTAATGGACTTGAGTCGAGGACGGGTTGACGCTATAAATGCTTCACCCACGTATATTTTGAGGTTATCTTGAGATGATTTCGGGGCTTTAGTGTCCCCGCGGCCCGGTCCTCAACCAGGCCTCCACCCCCAGGAAGCAGCCCGTGACAGCTGACTAACACCCAGGTACCTATTTTACTGCTAGGTAACAGGGGCATAGGGTGAAAGAAACTCTGTCCATTTCTCTCCGGCACCCGGGATCGAACCCGGGACCACAGGATCACAAGTCCAATGTGCTGTCCGCTCGGCCGACCGGCTTCCCCTTACAAACGTACTACAAATACAAATAATCGCCAACAGGACCTAAACACTTAACCTAACCTATGAACAAATCCAGAAGGACCGTGACGAGGGTTCGAACCTACGTCCGAGAGAATCCCAGACGTGCCTTAATCGACTGAGCTAAATTGTTCATTTGATGCATCACGCTATTGTGATTTCTGTGTTTAATGAAGTAAGGGCGAAGAGGTAGAACAGCTTATTGATAGAGCTCGGGTGCATGGGGGAATTGTATAAAAACCTGGTTTGTCTCGGAGAGGCTGCAGGACCCGTGGTAGGTCAAGTTGATTTCCCGGTTGCAGTTCTTATTCCATGTCGAAGCTCAGTCGATTAAGGCAGCGTCTGGGATCCTCTCGGACGTAGGTTCGAACCCTCGTCACGGCCCTTGTGGATTTGTTCATGTGATGCATCACGCTATTGTGATTTCTGTGTGTAACCTAACCTAACCTAACCTATGTCTATATATGCACAATAAGCTAATATATTATAATATTAATTTATATTTGAGAAAATTCCCGTTTTGGATGAACATCATGTACAAATTTATGAATGCGTTATCTTGAGATTTTATCTTGAGATGATTTCGGAGCTTAGCGTCCCCGCGGCCCGGTCCTCGACCAGGCCTCCTTTTTTTTGTTACACCCTTCCCCCGGCAAGCAGCCCGTAGCAGCTGTCTAACTCCCAGGTACCTATATACTGCTAGGTAACTAGGGTGAAAGAAACATTTTGCCCATTTGTCTACACCTCCACCAGAGATCGAACCCGGAACCTCAGGACTATGAATCCGAAGCGCTGTCCACCTAGCTGCCAGGCGCGTCTGTGGGGTCGTTCGCTGGATGTAATAGACTTGAGTCGAGGACGGGTTGCTATAAATACTTTACCCACATGCTGCAAATACAAATAATTACTAAAAGAACCTAAACATCTAACCTAACCTACACTTAAAAATGCACAATATGCTAACATATAATACTATAAATTTATGAACAAATCCACAAGGGCCATGATGAGGATTCGAACCTACGTCCGGGAGCATCCCAGATGCTGCCTTAATCGACTGAGCTACGACTAGTTTAACAAGGAGGATGTTGTTAAACAAACAGTGAAACTCAAACCAAACAAATCCCCAGGGCCTACCTTACCTTGAGATTACCTTGAGGTGCTTCCGGGGCTTAGCGTCCCCGCGGCCCGGTCGTCGACCAGGCCTCCTGGTTGCCGGACTGATCAACCAGGCTGTTGGACGCGGCTGCTCGCAGCCTAACGTATGAGTCACAGCCTGGTTGATCAGGTATCCTTTGGAGGTGCTTATCCAGTTCTCTCTTGAACACTGTGAGGGGTCGGCCAGTTATGCCCCTTATGTGTAGTGGAAGCGTGTTGAACAGTCTCGGACCTCTGATGTTGATAGAGTTCTCTCTCAGAGAACGGACGAAGTGTTTGCCTGGGTGCTTAAAGAATGCAAAGAGTAGCTTTGCGATCCATTGTCTACCATATTTAATAAATCATTAGTCAGGCCAGAGTCATGGAAGGTAGCTAATGTAATACCATTTTTTAAGAAAGGAGATCGATCACTTGCGTCAAACTATCGGCCAATTAGCCTTACGTATATTGTGGGAAAGTTATTTGAATCGATAATTGCAAATGCTATTCGTCTTCATCTTGAAAAACATGAATTAATAAATGAGTCGCAACATGGTTTTACAAATGGCCGTTCATGTTTAAAAATTTGCTATCATTTTATTCCAGCATAGTTGAGGCAGTTGATAGTGGTAAAGTTTGCGATATTGTGTACCTTGACTTTAACAAAGCTTTTGATACAGTGCCACATGAAAGACTGATTAAAAAGATAGAGGCTCCTGGTATTGGGGGTGCTATATTAAGTAGGATTAGGGCATGGCTGTTCCAAAGGAAACAGAGAGTGAGTATAAACGGTCCGTCTAATTACCAAAAACTACCACATACTACACACGCTTCAGAAAACTTCCTGGCAATATGTTAGTAATGAATAAATATGATATATTTACTCATTATAATGTTGGTGCTGAATGTACAACACGAAAAACATAATTTTAATCTGAAAAAGTATCTTTTTATAAAGAAATTAGACGAAAATAAAAAGCTGGTGACGCCAAATCAAGTCGACGATCCAAGCTTCGGTTAGGTTAGGTTTGGTTAAGTTAGGTTAGGTTAGGTTAGGTCAGCCTAACTTAATATATCATATTTATTCATTACTAACGTATTGCCAGGAAGTTTTCTGAAGCGTGTGTAGTATGTGGTAGTTTTTGGTAATTAGACGGACCCAGTATAAATGGGGTTAAGTCAGAGTGGGAAAATGTTGTAAGTGGAGTGCCGCGTGGCTTTGTCCTGAGGCCTCTGTCATTCATAATATATATAAATGATTTAGATTCAGGTTTGGGCAGTATCATTTGCAAATTTGCCTATGATACAAAAATCGGTAGGAAAATAAACATTGAAAAAGACTCATTATCACTTCAAGGCGATCTAAATAGGGTTTTGAAATGGTCAAAAGATTGGCAGATTCAGTTTAATGCTGATAAATGTAAGGGTTTGTGGCTAGGTAATGATGATAGAGTTACAAGATACGAGCTAGATGGTGTTGAGATTGCGAAGTCGGATTGCGAAAGGGATCTGGGCGTTATGATTAGTAAGCAGGCGATGAGTCACAATAATGTGGCTAAAGTATGTTGACCAGACCACACACTAGAAAGTGAAGGGACGACGACGTTTCGGTCCGTCCTGGACCATTCTCAAGTCGATTGAGAAAGAATTTAAAACCAAAAAAATTAGTGCATAAATGTTCATAATAAGGCAAATAGGACACTGGGATATATTAATCGAAGCGTTAGTAACAAGACACCTAGTGTTGTTCTTCAGCTATATCGTGCTCTGGTTAGGCCCCATTTAGATTATGCAGTTCAGTTTTGGTCGCCGTACTATAGAATGGATATAAATTCACTTGAACGTGTCCAGCATAGGATGACAAAGTTAACCCGCCAAATTAAAAATCTGTCATATGCAGAAAGATTAACAAAGCTTAAATTGCGTTCACTGGAAAGGCGAAGAGTTAGGGGTGACATGATAGAGGTTTACAAGTGGATGAATGGACATAACAAATGAGATATTAATAGGGTATTAAAAGTATCAACACAAGACAGAACACGAACCAATTGGTATAAATTGGATAAGTTTAGATTTCGGAAAGACATGGGTAAATACTGGTTCGGTAACAGGGTTGTTGATTTGTGGAACCAGTTGCCACGTGGCGTGGTGGAGGTGGGGTCCCCTGATTATTTCAAGCGTGGGTTA